GAAAGAGTGGTTTTTGGTACGAGTCTTATCTTATTGTTACGACGGATCATGATTTATTATGAGTCTTATCTTATTATTCCGACGAATCATGATTTATTATATCTTATTGAGATTTTATTTTTGTTTTCTTTTGATTCGGTTTTAAATTAATAAAAAGTAAATTTTTTATATTTTTAAGGTTTTTTTTTAAATAAAATTTTCTTTTTTAAAACTTATTTTATTTGAATTTTTAGTTGCATTCATTTCTTTGGTTAGGTTTGAATTTTTAAATATACATTCAATTTTAACATGAAATTCAATTGGACTAATAATATTTTATTTAACGGAACCAAAATAAACAAAGCCCTGATGTTATTTACTACAAACAAATACAAGAAAATCAGGCTGCTTTCATACACATACATACACATACATATTCAGCCTCTTCTCTTCTCTCATCTCTTTCGATCTTACATATCGCTTAATAAACCCGAGTGAGAGAACCCGACGGAGGAAACTTGTCCGGTCACCGGAATATCTCGATCCCAATCCCCAGGAATCTGCACAACGAAACCTCTGCACCAAGGAGAGACTCTCGTTGCTCGATCCCGTAGGAGTTCTACAGTATCAGGTCACTCGCTGATCAAAAAGATTTATGACCACTTGGGCAATTCGGCTATTACCCTTCTTGTCCCATACACAAAGGAGGAGAACAATCATTGACGTTGTCCTCAAAAGGCATCATATTCAGATCCGGAAGCAAGAAGTTGTCATTGTCTGTCATCTTCTCCATCTCCTCCCCCTCCGTCTTGCAATGTTGATGAAGCTCGACTGATGATCCCTTTTCCCATTTTCGATGGGCCAACAAGGGTTCACTCTGGTCGATGTTCTTCTTCAGATCCAACTTTGAGACACAACACAGAGCGTGAGATGAGAGTGAATGATTTAGTCGCTGTGCCCAAAGCCAAAACCCCCCGACAACAACATTGAACAGACAGGAAAAGAGAATCTTGGCCTCACCTTCATTCTCTTCAAGCTCTCGCTCTCAGCTCCCTGCTCATCGAAATCAGCACGGAGCGAGGCAATCTCCTGTTCATAACGTGAGCACAATACAATCAACGTTTTGGCAAATCTCCAGCTTATTTATAACCATATGTTCACATACGCCGCATCCCAGTAGAAGTACGATCCAAACAATGCAACATCAGTAAGTACAGTGAATAGGCCAATCTAATGAGTTTCAACTGTGGTGGTATTCTTTCACTTTCTTGGGAAGTAACTTAACCCTCTGTTTGATTCCCATAAAGGGTTTGGGACACACTCATGTGGAATGAGATTAAAAAAGAATGCAAGAAGAGGGACAAAAACCTTCTTCAAGGATATTCTTTCCTTCAACAAGTTGTCCTCTTCCTCCTTAAGTTCAGCAAATGTCTGTAAAAATCACCCGGAAAACTACTATCAATCATTCGTCATAATCGAATTCTATAACGCATTCAGATTGTGAATCCATTAGATTGATTGTTTATGTACCTTCTTTATCCTTATTCTTTTGGTGCCGAAGCCAGAGCCGGTTGAGTCTTCAGTGATTACAATCTGCAATTATGGAACAAATGCAGTTAATAAAATAGAGAGTAAAAATCTGAAACCCCATAAGAGTTCAACGCTGAGGGCTTGACGACACAACAGCTCAACACCCAAAAAGACTGTTGTTAGATATATCTTGAATCAAAATTCTGACAACGTACTTATAGAACTCATATGATATAATCATAACAATTATATATATCTTCCAATCCCCGCCAAACCCCAAATAAACTCTGAGGATTAAGGCGCTTACACAACATGACACGAGCTCAGTTCATGCGACTGTCCTCACGCGACCTCTCTGACATGGCGAATAGCTACTGGCACATTTCCCCACGACTCAACACTTAACCCACAAATATATAAAATAAAATAACAATTGCATGTGCAGAAGCAGAATCATCCCACGACCCAAAAACAAATACGAGAACTAGGGGCCCATAGCTAATCCAGACAAATTGCTTTCAGAGACGAATAAATTAACCCATTACCAAAATAAAGGTCATAGGCCCATCCCAGAAAGTAGATGAACGAGATTGACGATTATTTTATTTTTCATCATTTATCACAGAAATAAGGCAAAGTTTTGTCGCTTCTCTTTTAATTATGACGTTGTCTTCCACTAGTCTACGTAATTATGCAAGCCCCACTTTTATTCTGCTAAGGTTCTTCGAAAAAATCTAATTGAAATCTTCCCCGAAAAAATTAAGGAAAAAAAGGAATCACTCGTCGTCATCAACCTCACCGCTGTGGCAAATCCGTGGTTTCCCACGTCTGTCGGGGCAATTCCGTCCAACCAGGGACCGAACCACGACAGATGCACAGATCGGCTCATTGGAAATCGGAAAACGAGAAGAGAGGTGCAGAGTGAGAGAAAGAGAAGGGAGAAAGAAGAGAAACGAACCTTGGATCTAGATCCAACGGCCAAGGAGCCGCTGGTTTGGCGACTCGTGGCCTCGTAACCGTCGGCGTATGCGGAGGGAGAAGACGAACCGCCACCGCCGGAGCCACCGCAACCGCCACTCCACGATAGCGGGGTACTGGGACTACATCTCGAGGTTTTGGCCGAATCAGTGTCCTTCATCTGCGAAACACCGTCGCCTCTCGGAGAACGAGTCCGCGGCTGCCGGATTCCCCACCGGAGTACCGCCACCGCCGAACTCCCGAATACCAACGGCTTCACCTTCGCCTCCTTCAGCCTTAGCAGCCTCTCAGCCACCACTCCGCCGTCTCTCATGGCCGACTTCGTCCAGTCATCCGCCACTGCCGTCACCATCGCCGCAAGCGTGTCAGTCTTTCCGCTTCCACTCCTATATCGATGAGAGACCAGGAAGAACCCTAAAGCACAGCGAAATATTCTACAAACTGAGAGAGGGAGAGGAGAGAGGAGAGAGGGAGAGGGAGAGGGAGAGGGAGGGAGAGAGAGAGGGGCAAGAAGTGGAGAGGAAACAAAAACCAGGGAAGAAAATCAAGACTGGGATGATGAGAAGTTATATACGTCAACGTCCTGCAGTTGCTCCCTTAATTTAATTAATATTTAATTACCTTCTTTTAATATTTCACGATTATATTATATTTAAAAATATTGTTTTAAGAGTATAAATAAATATTCGTACGTGTATTTATATATACGTGGGAGAATTATGTGGGTCCCATGTATGACGTGGCGATTGATGAATGTCCATCTGTTCATCGGACGGAACTCCACGGCTTTCTCCAAGGCTCCGTTATTATAGCCCGAGATCCATCATCAGGCAAAAAGCTAAAACTATTTCTCCCGGATCTTCGATATGATCATATTATCCGAATAACTAATGATCATATTGGTCATAACATTAAAATTTTGATAATTTTACCAAATAATTAGTGTAATATGTAAAGTATGATTATAGTGAATGGAACGTTATCATCAATGTGACCATAATGTGACCATACAATTATTCTGTTCACATGATCATATCTAGAGGAGGGTATGGAAAGAAATAGTTTTAGCAGGAAAAAAATATTTTGAATAATGTCCTCCATCATCATCATCTTGTTAATTAAAAACTTAAACCAACATTAAATGAAAACTTTTAATACGGAGAATTATAATTACGAAAATCGATGTAAAAATTACAAAACATATGTTGTTTAATAAGATTTCCAATATGCAGGATGAGTTAAACCTAAATGATTATATTTATTGGAGTTTATATGCCTAAATTTTCAAAATATATGCATATATATTATTTTCTAACTAATTAATTTTCTAGATCTCCATCACGAGATATTCATGATGCAGTTTCTCATGTTATGAAATAAAGTTATTTTCTCTAGGGAAGGGTTTATGTCCAATTAAGGAAAAAGCCCTCCTACTATTAAAAAAAAAATTTAAGACATTATTTTTGAAGATGAAGTTCATAATGGACCAACATTATTTGAAAGTAGGCCCATATATGTTGGGTAAAAGGAAAAGCTCAAGTAAATAGTCAAATATCTTGGGCCCCACACGTTAAGCTACGTGGCGTCTGTCTTTGTTGGTCTGCGTTTGTCATCGCGTTTTCCACCAACGCAACGCAACGCAACGCACGTTTGTGGTGAACGCTATTAGAGTGGTGATTTTGGTTCGGTTAACTAAAATGGAATCGAGGAATTCATATTTTTTTTCTTTCCATATAACTATAATCATAGTACGCAGTCTCTGTCATTGATACAGTAAATATATATGTCGTTTCTTAGAAGGTTACAACGTGTATCCCCTTTTTCAAATAGAAATTAAAATAAAATTAAATGGATATAAACTTTTTAAATTAAAAAATAAAAATTCGATTTCAAATAGCCACATTTTATGATCATATATAGTTTCTATAGATAACAGGAAGTATTAAATTAGCTCCACCTGGGTTGACCTTCCGGTTTACTCCACGGTTTGCTATAACCCGAACCGTTTTTATTTTTATTTTCGTTTCATTTTTGTATTCTGTAATTCTGGAAATTATTTATTACGGAATAAATTTTGGGTTTTAGATTGCCTAGAAACTAATTCTGTTTTTTCTTTCTTCTCAAAAAATATATATAAAAAATTCTCGAGCTAAATGAGGAAAATAGTGTTTCGAGTGCAAGTTGTTAGTAGACGCATGCGTTTATTGGTGTTTAATTGAATATTCATTCTGTTTGGAATTTGAAGCTCCAGACATTTCGTATTCAGGTTTTATCTCGGTTTGGCTGTTTTTTCCGCTTATCAATTGATTTTTTTGAAGGGAAAAAAATATTGACTTCTATATCAAATTTTAATCAGGCACATGTTATATTTGAATTTAATTTTATTCAAAATATTATTTTCCTAAATAAACGCCCGTTTCAATTATTTCTGAATTATTAAAAAATTATATCCGATGATTTTTATATCATATTAAATTTAATTAAGTACCAAATCGAGGTGGAAGTGAAACTACACGCTAATACATGATAGTATTACATATAGTAATACGCATAAGTTTAGCAAGATTTGTTTTGATTTGAATTGATTTGTAATCTTTCCATATCTTCCACTTAGCAACATTGTATATATCTCGTGTACGAGAATATAAACATCAATAACAAAGATTTTATAAACACTATTATGGTATTAGAGCCATAACATCGAAAGACTCGATTACCCCCGCAACCCTAAAATTTTCGATTACCCAAGCCGCCGCCGCTGTCTCGATCGTCGGCCATGACCTCTCCCGACACTCCTGCAAGTTCCAGTGGTCTCCCTACCTCTATTCCGGCGAATACCACTGCTCCTCGTGCCAATGTCACCGATGTACATGGTGACATTCCCACCGCAAATCCACATGGATTCGATGTCGCCGTGTCTGAGTTGATCAATGTCAACGTGACAAACGTATCAAAACTCAATGCCTCCAACTATCTTACGTGGAGCATTCAACTTCGCGCCCTCCTTCAAGGCTATAATTTGGATGCCTTCCTTGATCCCGACAATGCACCTTCGGCTACCTTCATTGTCGACAATGTTGTTACTCCGAATCCGGCTTATACACCGTGGTTCCGTCAAGATCGTCTGGTCTTCTCAGCCCTTCTTGGCTCAATCTCCACGCCGTGTCAGGCTCTTGTTGCGACAGCGACAACGGCAGCCTCTGCTTGGGCCACACTTGACATCAAACAACTCAAGGAGCAGCTCCGTCGTTTCACCAAGGGATCCAAATCCGTGAATGACTACATGAATTTTTACAAAGTTAAAGCCGACGAACTAGCTCTTCTCGGGAAACCTCTCGATCCCGAGGATCTCATCGATCTTATCCTTGGAGGACTTGGCGACGAGTACAAACCAATCAAGGATGCTGTCAATGCTCGGGACACAACCATCTCTTTTGTCGAGCTTCATGAGAAACTCCTTACACATGACGTGGACCTTGCAACAACATCTATCTCGGAGATCCCGATCACCGCTAATGCCGCTAACTACGGCTCTCGCTCAACCAACCGCTATTCGCATGGTCGGCCATACTCAGCACCTCGTTGGCCGAAACAGCACACTTCTCATCCTCGAGATCAGTCTCAGGATCAGCCCTCTCGTCCACCGCCTCGGCCTTACCTAGGCAAATACCAACTATGTGGAGTGCAAGGCCATAGTGCTCGGACATGCCACATGCTGTCGTCCTCCGTTTCTCGGTCGTCACCACACGACCGCCCCGCATGGCAACCTACAGCTCATGCCGCCGCTGTCTCCCCATCGCCTGCCTCTTCGTGGCTCTTGGATTCCGGAGCCTCACACCATGTGACATCCGACTTGGCGAACATGTCTCTACACTCTCCTTATCACGGTGGGGATGAGGTTATCATTGGCGATGGCTCGGGTCTTGCCATCACACACACCGGTTCCTCTTCTCTTCCCTCATCCCATCGCCCCATTCACCTTCATAACATTCTATTTGTTCCCTCAATACAGAAAAATCTGATTTCCATACACCAATTATGTCATTCTAACAATGTCTCTGTGGAATTCTTTTCTCGTTTCTTTCAGGTGAAGGATCTCACAACGGGGGCAACACTGGTAACCGGGCAACTTAACAACGGTGTGTATGAATGGCCGACTGTCCCACTTTCCCCTTCATGTTCAAATAAGCCCTCGCCTCTTGTCCTCTCAAGTGTCAAGACGTCTATTCCCGAGTGGCACTCTAGACTAGGTCACCCTTCACGAGAAGTTCTTAATTCGGTTGTTTCTAGTTTTTTCCTTTCGCTGTCTAGTGTTTCAAGTCGTCATTTCTCTTGTGAACCTTGCTTGATTAATAAAAGTCACAAACTTCCCTTTGCCTCTTCTTCGGTTTCTTCATCACGTCCACTTGAGCTTTTATATTCGGATGTTTGGACTTCTCCCGTCACCTCATTTGATGGCTTCAAATATTATGTCATCTTTGTGGATCATTTCACTAGGTACACTTGGTTCTACCCCATGCGTCACAAATCACAAGTCTCCACCATTTTCCCGCGGTTCAAAATACTCGTAGAAAATAGGTTTCAAGCCAAAATTGTCACCTTATTTTCGGATAATGGTGGAGAGTATATTGGTCTCAAAGATTTCCTTTCCAGCCATGGTATCTCTCACCATACTTCCCCTCCACATACTCCGGAACACAACGGTGTTTCGGAACGTAAACACCGACACATCGTTGAAACCGGTCTTACACTTCTTTCTCGGTCATCTATACCTTTAGATTTGTGGACTTTTGCCTTACCAACAGCGGTATATTTGATAAACCGTCTTCCTACCCCGGTCCTTCAAAATAGATCTCCTTTTGAAACACTTTTCGGTTCGTCACCTAATTACTTGAAACTTAGAACTTTCGGTTGTCTTTGTTTCCCGTGGCTTCGACCATACCGAAGTCACAAACTTGAACCTCGGTCGGCTCCTTGTGTGTTTGTCGGTTACTCTCTCACACAAAGCGCCTTCCTTTGCCTTCATGTTGCCACATCGCGTCTATTTGTGTCTCGCCATGTCGAGTTTGTCGAATCCGACTTTCCCTATCAACGTCTTCTTTCAAGTCCATGCTCCTCTACATTATCCGAGGACTCTCTAGTCTCCTACTCTCCTCATGCGTCTCGTGTTCCAAATCGGTCCACTGCCATCACACCGTCGCCCGTGTTGCCTCCCGTGTTGTGTCCGACACCTCAGAGTACCGCGCCCCACGAAGACTTGCCTCCCACGACACCAACACATAATGCCTTGTCCTCCACACCACCTCTAGCTACGAACTCTCCCTTAATTCCCGCCTTTATTTCGCCACCGTCACTATCATCCGACCCTGAGCCATAAAATCCCTCACCAACCGACCCATCACCACCACGCCAACCATTAAACACTCATCCCATGACCACTCGCTCCAAAAACCAAATCTCCAAACCAAACCCAAAATATACCTTGACAACCACCCTTGATTCTACCCGAGATAAGGAACCGACGTGTGTGTCTCAGGCTCTCAAAGACCCGAAATGGCGCACGACAATGACTGACGAATTTAATGCCCTACTCCGGAATGGAACATGGAGCCTAGTTCCACCACACCCATCATATAATGTCGTTGGGTGCAAGTGGGTTTTCCGTACTAAACGTCTTTCTGATGGTTCTATTGACAGGTACAAAGCTCGCCTCGTTGCTAAGGGATTTCATCAACGACCGGGTATCGACTTCAATGATACTTTCAGCCCGGTCATCAAACACGCCACCATTCGCGTCGTTCTGAGCATTGCGGTTTCTCGTGGCTGGGTTCTTCGCCAACTCGACGTCAACAATGCCTTTCTTCAAGGCACCCTTGACGAGGATGTCTATCTTGCCCAACCACCGGGCTTCATTGATCGAGATCGCCCCTCATACGTATGTAAGCTTCACAAAGCACTCTATGGACTCAAGCAAGCACCTCGTGCGTGGTACAATGAATTGTGTCGGTTTCTTCTCCAATCCGGGTTTGTCAACTCCCTCTCCGACACATCCTTATTCATACTTCAAAGTAATGATGTTATCATCTATGTACTTGTTTACGTGGATGATATCATCATCACCGGAAACCACATGAAGCACGTCCAGGACTTCATTGAATTATTGGCTCGCCGATTCTCCATCAAGGACCTCGGCCCTCTAAGCTTCTTCCTCGGCGTAGAGGTCACTCGAACAGCCACCGGTGTCTTGCTTACTCAACAGCGGTACATCTCAGATGTCCTCTCTCGACACCATATGTCGGAAGCAAAACCCGTACCGACGCCACTGCCTTCCACTGCGGACCTTCGCATCAACTCCGGGACTCCTCTTGATGAACCAGAACAATATCGACAAGTCCTTGGCAGCCTGCAATATTTGCTCTTCACGAGGCCCGACATTGCCTACGCCGTCAATAAGCTTTCACAATACATGCATCGACCAACATCTGAGCATTGGCAGGCATTAAAGCGTGTTCTCCGTTATCTTAACGGAACTCGCTCCCATGGTATCTTCCTCTCTCGCTCTTCTCCTCTATCCCTTCATGCTTTCTCTGACGCAGACTGGGGAGGTGATCGCGATGATTTCACGTCGACGGGAGCTCATATTGTATATCTTGGTCGAAACCCGATCTCATGGTCTTCCAAGAAACAAAGGTTTGCGGCAAAATCATCAACCGAGACAGAATATAAATCCGTCTCTACCACTGCCTCCGAAGTCCAATGGTTGGTCTCTCTCCTCTCGGAACTTGGCATTCATCTCTCCGACATGCCAGTGATATATTGTGACAATGTTGGTGCGACCTATCTCTCGGCCAATCCCGTCTTCCACTCGCGGATGAAGCACGTTGCGATCGACTACCACTTCATTCGAGGTCTAGTACAAGCGCAGAAACTACGAGTTGTCCATGTCAACTCCGCTGATCAGCTTGCAGACAGCCTAACGAAGCCCTTACCACGCTCTCGGTTTGAGCTACTCCGGACCAAGATCGGCATCACACCCGATACCGCTCTTGCGGGGGCATGATAGTATTACATATAGTAATACGCATAAGTTTAGCAAGATTTGTTTTGATTTGAATTGATTTGTAATCTTTCCATATCTTCCACTTAGCAACATTGTATATATCTCGTGTACGAGAATGTAAACATCAATAACAAAGATTTCATAAACACTATTAATACATAGGCTAAAAGAATCATTTATTTTAATATTTTCAACTAATACTTGTTTGTAAAATTAAATAAACCACAAAAAAAAAAAATCAAGTACATTCCACAAAATAGATATCGGGTTGCTGAACTTTGATGGTCAGAACCCTAGAGGCCCAAGGGTTACTTGAATTGGGCTTATGAGGCCCATAAGAATAAGCCCATGACGAAATTTGCGTGAACCTTATAAAATCCCTTCTCTTTCGCCTCTCTTAGGGTTTCTCCGCCGTTTCTAGGGTTTTCTCATCGTTTGTCCTCTCCCTCGGCGGCACCAGAATCAGGAGGCCAAAATGGTACGCCATACTCTCTCTCTCCCCCTCATATGAGTATGTAATATTGCTGTATTGCGTTCGTGATGAACTTAACATTTCCGTTTGGTTTCCGGGGAAATTGTGGAAAATCAAACAGCCGTCGCACAAGACCTTCAGGATCAAGAAGAAACTGGCGAAGAAGATGAGGCAGAACCGACCGATTCCTCACTGGATCCGTCTCCGTACTGACAACACCATCAGGTTGTTTGTTTATCAATTTTTTGTTTTGTTTTGCGGTGACGTTCGGTAATGCTTATCGCTCATTTGATTTCGTGTATTGTGTAGGTACAACGCGAAACGCAGGCACTGGCGCCGTACAAAGCTCGGATTCTGAGCATCATCAGGTTCTTTGTTAGATTTTTCGTTTAAGTTACTGGCTTCGTTCGTCCGGCGAAGAGTTATCAGAGAGACAGATTTGCAAATTTTCGATGTAATTTTTGGATTATCTGAAAAATGTTGGCTTCGTTCTTCGGTTTTCTCGATTCCTTAAATTGCGTTGTTAATATCTTCTTCCTACGTCGTGATCTGGAGGATTTCATCGCGTTTTGAGATACGAAACTTTCATATGACTCGTTTATTGCCGTGCTGTGTAAGTGATGTTGTGTGGCCATTTCGGTTTGTTCGGTTAAGCAAAACAAAACTTTTAGAGCTTGAAATTCGGATTCGGATGGATCATGAAAATAATTGAAGTTTTTAGAGTTTTTTTTTATTAATGTAATTAAAATTGGGGAAAAAACCCTCAAAATTCCTGAACTTGTAATTTGGTATAATATAAATTCCTAAACTTAGAATTTCTTATTAATTCCCGAACTTGCAAAATTGAACATGTTAATTACTGAACTTAATCCGTTCCATAACAGTTCTCACCGTTAATTGGTCAATGAAAAGGGTTGACCTAGTCCACATGGTGTGTGACGTGTCGGGCCAGTTTAGAAATTTTGTGTTACGTATGCAATTTTAAGGTTTTCGAAAAAAACCTACGATTTCGACGAGGATGAGCAGTAAACCGGGCTTTCTGAAAAGCTGGTAAATGACAATGATGACGTCATTGGATACATGAAAAAGGTAAATGGTAACAAAGTGATGTGTTTATTTCGGTAATGATCATCAGAAGAATTGTGTCGTCATATAGATTTATGATTTGGAGGGTTCTTTTTTAGATTTACAGAGGAACAGAGGGACTCCGACGAAAACCGTAAAAAAAAAAACGTAACGACGCAAAAGGGAAAATTTCTTCGGGGAAGGTTCATCAATGGCGAACCGGTGATTCAGTCCTCACATCAACTGCCGTAGTTTCCATTAGGTAAACTAAATCTCACCCTCTCTTTTTTACCCGATTCCGTATCCGTTTTTCAATTTCTCCCCCTCTTCAATGCCCTCGTTTTCGTCTTCCACTATTTGATCTGACAACTAAAGAACTTCGATTTCGATTATGCATGAAGCTGTAGAGTCGTAGTTGATTTTGGCTTTGATTCTTTGAATCTGTTGCTGGGTATTGATGTCTGATCATTTCTATAATCGGAGCTTTACTCGCTAGGGTTTATCTTTCGTGGTGGGTTCGTTGTTTCGCAATCCTAATTCGGATTAGGGTTTTTGGGTCTTTGATCTGGTCAATGTGCGAGGGATTTGATACTCAGTTGTGTTTTCCTGCATCCGTATCTTGAAGAGGAAGAGAGGATTTAAACCGGATTTACTGTTCATACTCGTCGAAATCGCCGGTGTTTCGAAAACCCTGAAATTGTATACGTGGCACAAAATTTCTGAACTGATCTGACACGTCATACGCTACGTGGATTAGGTCAACTCTTTTCGTTGACCAATTAACGGTGAGGACTGTTATGGAACAGATTAACAAGTTCAGTTATTAACATGTTCAATTTTCCAAGTTCGGGAATTAATAGACACCTCTGTAAGTTCAAGAATTTATATTATACCAAATTACAAGTTCAGAAATTTTGAGGGTTTTTTCCCTTAAAATTGAGTTGTAAAAGGGAATAGCAACAATACAGTAGGTCCCTTAATGTTGAGTTATACAAATATTAACAGCAACTTTGTTTTTTTTTTAAAATCTAGACCATAGTTTATGAAATCTAAACTACAAATGGGAGAATCTTATTAAAAAAAAGATTTTGTAAAATTTATCGGTAAAACTTTTAATTATTATTTTTTAAAATAATATTTACTCTACAGTATTTCTTCGTATGGGTACGTTGTTTATGTCTCACTAGTTCTTCTATTATGTTTTTCGTCTGCTTCGATGGGCCGTTGTTTAAATAGACAAGTGGCGAGTAACAAAGCAGAAGGAAACAAAGACGTGTACAAACTAGGTTTAAGGTAAATGGGCTCCAATTTGTTACTTGATTGCAAAATCACATCTCATTTTCCTTGTTAAATCCGTGATTGACCAAAATAATATGTTGGCAAATGTCGTCGCTAATTCATAAATATGTTACAACGCCTTTGCGCTACAACAGTCTCGCAAATCCTTCAACGCATCATCGTGGTAAAATGCGCTACAACTTTGCGACGCTATTGCATTCCCAATAAGTCAAGGATATAGTAAAAAAGAATTCCCGTTTGGGAAATGTGTAAAAAAGAAAAAGTGAAAACCCCCTTTTTATCTCATCTCTTTTTTTTTTTTCTTCATTCTAAAGAAAAAGGTTTAGAATTTAGTAGACAAAAGATAGATTTAAAAAAAAAAAAATTTATCAACATTCGTCTATTGATCAAAATGATATAAAATGTTTGTGGAGGAGCACCGCCATGTGCAACATGCAATTCTGATCACTATTCATTGCCAATTTAATGTGAACAAATCCTATGAGTTATGAATATAAACACGTGCATGAATAGTTTAAAGATCATCAGAGAACCTAACAAAGATGGGGCAAAAACCAAAAGAAACAGAGCCGAAGTGACGAATGAGAGAAGCCCCCTGAGTCCATCAGCTTACGGCCAAGACATTTGTAGAAATGTAGGGAGATCTGTATTCTCTCACCTGAAATGTTCACAACAAAACACACACCAAACAAGCTAAAATTCTTATATCTTTACAAGACTATTACAACTAACATATATATATATATCGATTCTTTCCCCCGTTTTCTTTTCAGGGTCCAGATGAGTTTCTGATTTGCTATTTGTAAGTGTATTGAACAAAACTCAAGAACACAGCAGTTTGAAAACCGAAACCCTTTTCGTGACCAATCAATTTGTCGACGGACTTGAACTTGTTTTATGGAGAAATAGAGGAAGGAATTATGCATACCTCTAATAAGCAAGTGGGTATTTGAATACAACCCTGCAGGATAAGATCAACTTTCTGGAGGATGTGTTCGGCGACGGGGGTGATAACATACAAGACGCCTTTCTCCATGTCAATACCTCTAACCAACCCTACAGAGCTCAAAGGAACGAGAATTAGTCAGACTCTCAAGACAAACTGATGTGAAATAATGTACAATATATATATTCCTTATGGAGCGTGAGAGATCATCAATCTTCAGTTGAAATATAACATCTGTTTTATTAAGTTGAATAACTGGCTTTGCCAAATGCATGGTGAAAGGAGAATTGTAAGGTAAAAGAACTTCACCAAGACCCACACACGGAGGCAAATCTTCAAACACATCAGAACTAACGCCCAAGCCGACAATAGTTGCGTTCAGACTATACAAGACTTCAGAGCTTGGAATCTGACAAAAATAAATAAATCAATCAAGATTAGAATCTATTATTTGTGGAAACAATCTTCTAATATATATGTTTAACCTCACCTGAAAATGAAGATGCTCGATTTTTATGCTCGAGATTGGGACTTCATAAGGGGTATGAGAAGCAAGTTCATGGGCGAGTTCTTTGATTGTGCCGACTTCCTTATCTCTGATGCACTGTTTGAAGTAAGCGATTATCCGCATATCCCGCATGAGACGGGTATCTTTTTGTATTAAAACACTGTTGAAACAGAATCATACAAAAAATGTAAATGCCACACTTAAAAATTGGGAGAAAATACATGAACATTGAGCACACACAAAGTAATCCTGTACCAACTTGCAAAAGTGACCTATAGATATACTAACTATACTTTGACGAAATGCAACCACCAATTTTCAACTTTCTTCCGTAATAGTTCATCAAATTGGAAACTTTTGGGTAAGTCTAGATAGTCACCAACGGCTGTCCAATCACCGTTTAGAGTGCATATATGGCATACAAAATAAAACCAATTGGGTTATGATGAGGCAAAACATGTTTTTTCAAATCTTGTTTTCTTTTCTTCTCTCTTCCCACAGTGTAAGCTGTATATGTGGGAAGACAATCTGAATGTTGAAAGTATGGCACATTGTGGGCAAATGTTAAGAGATTGTGTATGGTTAGACAACCTGTTTGTTGGTGCACAGCTACGGTAGTGTAACAGTGAGATTATTGTGCCTAAGAGCATCCAATTTCAGAAACTTCAAGGAAACAACTGAAAAGTGCTGTGATGGACTTACGATCGATTGAAACTGTCTCGGTAAGCTGATCCAATCTCCATTAGATTAATAGTCTCCTCCTGGTTACCATCTAACCAGAACAACCCAGCTGGGAGGTTCTTGGTCTCGGCAGATATGTTGACCTTCACAACATGGGTGGGAGAAACATATCTCAGCATGTCCACCAACATATCATATCCTATACCTGAAGATACCAAAAAAATGACATAAGAATTAGAGAATTTGCATCGTCAATATCTATCCATGTCGAAAGACACACAAGAAAATAATATAAAAGATGCAAGATACCTTTTACCCAGCCTGGTGTATTAACAACGAGCGGCAACCCAGTTTTGCTCTCGTTAGACTGGGAGAAGTGTAACTGGTAGTAATCATATAGGGTAAATATATACCTTAGATATGCTTTCGGATCCCTCTTAGGAGAAAGATCACCGAAGAAAAAACATCTGAGTGTAAAGAAGAAACTAAATGACTCAATCTAGCATCAGGGCTTTTAATGCAACTGAATTGACAAGATATAAGCTTGAATCAAACTACCTGTCAGGAGTCTTTACACATGGAATGGACATATCTGAGTCTACACGGAGAAAAAAGAACAAAATCCTCGTTCAGTAACAGAAGAAACACTATATGAATGAACATGTTTATTCAGGCCAGGAAGAAGTTCTTCATCTATTGAGGAACTTGATGCAATACCACGAAAGTCACTATAAGGTACCTAGAATTGATTTATCCAATACTGTGAGAGAAATAAAACCAGGGGCAGTGAATTCAGGCTGGCCGACATCCGTGTCCAGATAAGCTATTTTTTTGTACCTGAAAACATACGACCAACAGATAATTAGACTTCATCTGAATACATAACAAACCAAGAAGATACCAACTTCATACTTCAACCTAGAAACCACAAGACTGTACTGATTCCATGACAATGGTGCCAAATTTGAGTTGAGTGGACTGCAAACCACACCATTTTTACACTGCTTATAACCTGAATCCATCTCAGAAAAGGGACATTGCATGGATGCTCAAAAACAAAGGCATTGCGAGCAACACCACTGAATCAGATCCCCTTGCATGTTCACACTATGTTGACAGAAAGCCATAACTTCTGGAGAGCATTAACCCCAGGAAAGGGCTTAACTCAATCAATTAAATCCCAATACAATAACTTTTTTTTGGAACATAAAAGCTGTAATAAGATTTGGGAGAGAGAAAAGAGTGAATGCCTCTGGAGAAGAACTTCAACAAGGACACGGGAAAAGGTGCTTTTGCCGCTATTTTTCGGGCCACAGACCAGGGCTACAGGTGGCACTGCCGACATTATGGAACTGTTGGCGATAGAATTCACAGCCTCAGACCACTCATCCGGCACATAAGGCAATTCCCTCTCTGTTTCCGACATTGCAGCCTGTCTTATTCAATTTCCTCACAAAACCTCGGCTTCAACTTCTTGACCTGCTTCTCCTTGAAACAAAACCAAGATTACGGGTTCCCATCAATACCTACAGATTCCAATTTCCAAATTTCCAAAAAACACTCGCCACTGATTCACACCCTATGTAGTGATGAATTTATTTCAATTCGCTTAACTGGAGCTAAAGCGAATTCACAACGTTTTTCAAACATTTTCCAAAGACAAAGTACTTTTGCCCTTGAAAAACTAACTTCATATCCGGGATTCCCGAGATATAACGGAACACAAGTGTCTTTTTTTAGCAAATTCTCCGACAACGTCCCCGGCGGCGGTTGTCTCCGGAGACGTGACCGGAATGAGCAGAGACAAACACCAACCAACCCAGAATTTCGCAAGCATTCCAAAAAACGACATTGGTTCTGCAAAACGAGGCCTAAAAACTAACCAAAATTAAGTTTTCCTCCTCAGAATCGTGGTTCAGTAGGCCGTTTACCGGCGTCGCTTAATCGACACTGCTCACAAAGCCATTGGTCGTACTCGACATGGCCAGCAAACAAAACCATATGTAAATCGAGCTGGAATAAGATAGATGAGAGAGAGAGAAAGAGCTCACAGGAATTGTTCGACGTGACGGCGCCGGAGGGATCGAAGGAGATGGTGGGTCCTAAACCCTAAACCCTGCCCGCGCGGAGGGAGAGGGAGAGAAAGCGACGAAGGGTTCTTTCACCAGTTGCCCCCTTTGCTTAATAGTTCTAAATATTACACTTAAGTCCTTAATCTATTCAGTACTTCTATTTTCACAAAATAAGGTCTTGTAAGTCTTTCGATTTCACCCCAAATTTCTGAACGAGGATTTAATCCATATCAAAAAATATTTCGAAAATTTCGGTCTTGTTGAAAATAAAAGGGAAAGAAAGACAATGAGACAAGGGGAGAGAGAGAGTACGGTAAAAAAAAAGGAGATTTATTGTATGTGTTACTCGAATTACAAAATGAAACGACCATGCATGTATTTATAGGCCAAAATAGAAAACTCCTTCGTAATGAAGGAAAGTATGTAATTGGGCCATACTAAAGGTCTACTAAGATTTTCACAATACTCCCCCTTGTACCTTTAGTAATTATTCTGAACTGTCTCGTTAAAAATCTTATCATGGAAAAACTCTATGGGATAAAAACCATGACGAAGGAAAAAGAGTACAGTCTTACAAACTCCCCTTGAACCAATATGCATGTGTTTCTTCATAAACTCCGAAGACGACGCATTCCGATACTCTGAATATGCTTCCTGAATATTGAAGTAGGAAGTGACTTTGTGAATAGATCAGCTACATTGTCACTTGATCGGATATAGCGGATGTCAACTTCTTTATTCCTTTCGAGCTCTTGAGTGTAAGAGAAGTACTTCGGAGGAATATGCTTCGTTCTGTCACTTTTTACGTATCCTTCTTTGGTTTGGGTAACACATGCAGCATTATCTTCAAATAATATCGTTGGATCGATATTAATCGGTAACCCACATGCTTCTTGTATATGGCGGGTTATAGCTCTAAGCCACACGCATTCTCTACTTGCTTCATGAAGTGCAATAACTTCAGCGTGGTTCGAAGATGTTGCAACCAACGTTTGTTTCTGAGAACGCCAGGACATTGCAGTACATCCAATTGTGAAAACATAGCCAGTCTGCGATCGAGCTTTATAAGGGTCAGATAAATAGTCTGCATCTGCAAAACCGATTAACTCAAGTTTCGAATCCTTAGGATAAAATAATCCCAAATCAATCGTTCCTTGTAAATAACGAAAGATATGTTTGATCCCTGTCCAATGTCGTCTTGTTGGAGACGAACTATATCTCGCTAAAAGATTAGTAGCAAACGCTATATCTGGTCGAGTACAGTTAGCAAGATATAACAATGCCCCTATCGCGCTCATATAAGGTACTTCAGGACCGAGTACCTCTTCGTTATCTTCGCAAGGGCGAAATGGATCTTTTTCAATATTTAGGGATTTACAAACCATTGGAGTGCTCAACGGATTTGATTTATTCATGTTAAAACGCTTCAGAATTTTCTTGGTATAGTTGGACTGATGAACAAGTATTCCGCTAGGAAGATGTTCTATTTGTAGTCCAAGACAAAACTTTGTTCGTCCAAAATCTTTCATCTCAAATTCTCTTTTGAGATAATTTCGAGCGTTTTCAATTTCCGTTGGAGTCCCAATTATGTTTAGATCATCCACATACACCGCTATAATTACAAAGCCGCTATCTGTTTTCTGGATGAAAACACATGGGCAAATGGGGTTATTAATGTATCCCTTTTTCAGCAGACATTCACTTAAGCGATTATACCACATACGTCCAGATTGTTTTAATCCGTATAAGGATCGTTGTAATTTGATTGCATATGTTTCCTTGGATTTTGAGTTTAATGCCCCCGGTATTCTCAATCCTTCAGGAATTTTCATGTATATGTCATTTTCTAATGACCCATATAAATATGCTGTGACAACATCCATGAGATACATTTCTAAATTCTTGGAAGTTGTCAAACTTATCAAATATCTGAACGTAATCGCATCCATGACTGGAGAATACGTTTCCTCAAAATCTATCCCAGGTCTTTGAGAGAAACCTTGTGCGACAAGACGTGCTTTATATCTCATAATTTCATTATCTTCATTTCTCTTTCGCACAAAAACCCATCTGCATCCAACTGGTTTTACACCGTCAGGGGTTTGGATAATGGATCCAAATACTTTTCTTTTATTTAATGAGTCTAATTCTACTTACATAGCTCCTTTCCATTTTATCCAATCATGTCTCTTTTGACATTCAGATACCGACATTGGCTCTGGATCTTCACTATCATTTTCGATTTCCTTAGATACAGAGAAAGAGAATATTTCATCACTATCATCTATCTCATTTCTTACCAACATCTTTCCATTGTGGATGTAGTTGATAGAAATCTCATCATCTTCTGTATTCTGAAGACCATTTTCATTATTTTGATATTCAGTATCTTTTCCCTCATTCAGTTCTTTTGGATCAATCTGAGGACTATCACCAGTCTCAATTTTCTTTTTTTTCGTGGATTTCTATCTTTAGAACCGAGTGGTCTTCCACGTTTTAACTGTGCCATTGACTCATTTGAAATTCTTTTCTCCCCCTGATCCTTTGGTATTTCTATCCGAGCGGGTACATTCGCGGCTGGTATATATGATTTTGTCACCCGTATTGTATCTGTGAATCCATCTGGCAATCGATTTGCTACATTTTGCAAATGTATGATCTTTTGTACTTCAAGATCACATTGTTTTGTAGGAGGATCAAGATTTGATAATGATTCTGCTTTCCACATCAAATCTTGCGAGGCTTGTATCATTCCTCCCCCTAACGTCGGGAATTCATCCTCACGAAAATGACAATCAGCAAAACGAGCTGTAAACATATCACCCGTTTGTGGTTCAAGATATCGAATGATTGAGGGTGAATTATATCCAACGTAAATACCCAATCGTCGTTGTGGACCCATTTTTGTACGTTGTGGCGGAGCTATTGGTACATATACCGCATAACCAAATACTCTAAGATGAGATATATTTGGTTCATTTCCAGTTGCCAATTGCACTGGAGAATATTTATGATATGCACTCGGTCGAATTTGAATCAATGCTTCAACATGTAAAATAGCATGCCCCCAAACAGAAATCAGAAGTTTTGTTTTCATCATCAATGGTCGAGCAATAAGTTGGAGTCGCTTAATTAATGACTCGGCCATACCATTTTGTGTATGGACATGTGGAACAGGATGCTCAATCTCAATTCCGAGTGACATACAATAGTCATTGAAAGCTTGAGAGGTGAATTCACCGGCGTTATCAAGCCTCACTTTCTTAATAGGATAATCAGGGAATTGAGCTCGTAGTTTGGTAATTTGAGCAAGAAACCTCACGAATGCAACATTGCGGGTTGATAATAGACAAACATGTGACCATCTGCTTGAGCATCTATCAATACCATAAAGTATCGAAATGGTCCACTCGATGGATGTATTGGTCCACAAATATCCCCATGTATTCGTTCTAAAAATGATGACAATTCATTTCCGATTTTGACCGATGATGGTCGTATTATCAATTTTCCTTGAGAACATGCGGTACACGTGAGTTCATGAGATTGAAGAATCTTTTTATTTTTCAATGGATGACCATTAAAACTTTCCACAATTCTCCGCATCATTATTGAACCAGGGTGACCCAATCGATCATGCCAAATCTTGAACACATCTCCAAACCGTGGATTCATTGTAGAATATGATTCAATCATGTATATTTTTGTGAAATATAATCCAGAGGATAATGTTGGTAATTTTTCCATCATATGCTTCTTTCCAGCAACCATTGACGTGATACAAAGGTATTCACGATTTTCTTCGCTTATAGTCTCAATATGAAAATTATTTTGGCGAATATCTTTGAAACTCAATAAGTTTCTTTGAGACTTTGGAGCGAATAATGCGTTATTGATCATAATCTTTGTGCCTCCAGGCATCATAATACTAGCTCTTCCTGAGCCCATGATCATTCTCGCATTTCCAGATATTGTGTTAACACTGGATTCAGTAATATTCAACTCAGAGAAATATTTCTCATCTTTAAGTATCGTATGAGTCGTAGCACTATCAGCTAGACATATATCCCCATCATTGATATTGGATTTTGACATATCTCAAATCGAATTGATCAATGTGAAAGATAGAAATATTCCTGAAAACAAAGATAAAGAAGAAATAATACATAACATAAGAACTGAACGTTAGAGTACAAAAAAAACTAGAGGAAAAACGTACAACAAACCCTTTTTTTTAAAAAAATAAAACATACTTGAAAACAAAATACAAAGTGCAACACTTATAAAGAAACGATAATAGATTTCATGTCGATTTTCTTCAGTTGGTCATTTTTCCATCTTCAGGCTGATCAAGAAAATCCGCGATATCCAAATGTATTCCATCTTCTTCTTTGCCGATGCTATCATCATGGACATCAGATACAAAGTTTGTCTGCACATTTTTTCCTTTGTCTTTACGTGATTGTTGGTATAATTCAACAAGATGTTTCGGTGTACGACAGGTCTGTGACCAATGATCATTCATACCGCATCGATAACAGATATTATCTTTGTGCCTTTTGTTTGTATCATATTGCTCGTTTCCATGATAATTCCTCTTCTTACTGCCTCCATTATGGAGGACATGTGGTTGATAGCTTTGGTTTCTTCCTCGTCCACGACCTCGACCATGGCCTCGACCACGTCCACGTCCACGTCCACGTCCACGTCCACGTCCACGTCCAGGATCATGCCAACGATTATAATTTGAAAATATTGCATTTATCTCTGGGAATGGAGTGGACCCAGTTGGACGAGCGTGATGGTTTTTCATCAACAGTTGATTATTTTGTTCTGCAACCAGGAGGACTTGAATCAAATCTTTATATTTCGTGAACTCTTTTGTCCGATATTGTTGTTGCAGAACAACATTATCAGCATGAAAAGTTGATAAGGTTTTTTCCAACTTATCATGGTCGGACACTTTTTCTCCACATAATTCTAGTCTGGAGATTATTTCAAACATTGCGGAATTATATTCTCGCACAGACTTAAAGTCTTGGAATCTCATATTCAGCCAATCATGTTTGGCCCTAGGATGGATCACATATTTCTGATGATCGAAACGATCTCTGAGTGATTCCCATAAATCTGCAGGATTTTCTTTCGTGCGATATTCATCTTTTAGCGCATCATCAAGGTGACGTCGCATAAATATTATCGCTTTTGCCTTATCAGCTTCAGATGTCGTCTGCCCTTTATCGATTGTTTTGACAATCTCTTTGGCTTTCAGATGCATTTTGGCGTCAAATGTCCATGTCATATAATTTTTGCCATATGCATCGAGGGCAGCGATTTCAAGGTTGACCAGATTCGACATATCTATCAAATAGAAAAACAATAAATTTATGTTATCCATGATTATATATTTAAGCAAAAATTAAAGAAACATTAGATATAATCATCCATATATTATTAGGCGGTAATACCGTCCATATTGCATAAAATAAATGGGTAAGGTGGCATAGCCATCCATCACAGAAACAATAATAGAGATAATAATGAAAATAATAACGATATGTATAAACAATTAGAATGATAAAAATATAATGGAGTGACATAGTCATCCTTCACGATAATATTTATATTTAGGTAGTATAGCCAACTATTATGATAATAACAAAAATATTTATAAACATTCATATCATTGACTGGTGGCTGAGTCTGCGGAGTCTATATGAATGTAATATAAATATATGTAATTAGTTTTACATTATTGACCGGTGGCTGAGCCTCCCAATATCTATATATAATGAAATTGAAGATGAATAGAGACGAATAATCATAGATTACCTTTTGTATGATATTTTTTTTTTTTATCTCTATGTCGGTAGAGTCTCGTGGTGATACGTGTTGAAAATAAAAGGGAAAGAAAGACAATGAGACAAGGGGAGAGAGAGAGTACGGTAAAAGAAAGGAGATTTATTGTATGTGTTACTCGAATTACAAAATGAAACGTTCATGCACGTATTTATAGGCCAAAATAGAAAACTCCTTCGTAATGAAGGAAAGTATGTAATTGGGCCATACTAAAGGTCCACTAAGATTTTCACAATAGGTCTATTTTTAATATCCGTTATTAATTTTCTGTTTTTTTTTTGTAGTACGGTAAGTCCGATTGCATATATCAATATTTACAAGCTTGGACAATTTAAGTAACAAAATTTAAATAAAATTACAACCTAATTTGTTAAAGAAAAATAGAGGAATTAGGATTTCAATTTTAAATAAGTTGGGAACTTTTTTGTGAAAATTTTTCTTGCAAACATTATATGCATAGGATTGTGCTTAGTTTGAGTTTCTACTTATTTTAATTAAAAAAATATGTATTGATTTGATTAATATATTCACCTGATAAATGTTGAATTGTGTATGTATAGCATGTAGGCGTGGTATGTAACGTGTGAGCATGTGTAGATATGGGCACATGGAAAATGTCCCATGAAAAAAAAACATAAAACTTGTTGTCCGAACGAAGTCCACAGATTTGCTTCTTCCACGTGCAAAATTCAACATTGTACAAAACTAACGTCACATGTGTTGTCCTCTCTCAATCCCCATCCATTTTCCCTTCAATTTCGTAATTTATTTCCATAATATATATACATATATATATTCTAAATTTTGTGAGAATTTGTATTATATCTCTATCTCAATGAAAAATATAATAAAAAAATCCAGAAAAAACAACTATAAGACATTTTATTAATCTAACATGCTTTTGGATTTTTTCTTAAATTACAAGTTAACTAGGTAATAATCCGCTTACATCGCGCGGACTACAAATACATATTGATGTTAAAAAAATTATTATTCATTTTAAAATTAAATATCTTATATTTTGATTTGGAATTTATAATTTCTATCTTTAAATTAAAAAGATAAATAATTTTTTAAAAATATCGAGATAATACTATGATATCTTTTTTTTTAAAAATAATTGTGAATAGTTTATATATTTATATTTTTTGTCTTATAATATAAAATCAAGGGTGGAAATTTGAAACATCTAAACACTGTTTTTTAAAAGTTCACGGCTCGATAAAAAAGTTTCATTATTGTTATTCATTTTAAAGTTAGATATATTATATTTTGATTTTGATTTTATAATTCATATTTTTAAATTAAAATGATAAATATTATTTTTTAAAATATCAAGATAAAAATATGATATCTTTTGTGAATAACTTTTATGTTTATATTTTTGTGTCCTATAATATAAAATTAAGGGTGAGAATTTGAAACATCTAAACAATATTTTTTTTGAAATTTATAACTCGATTAAGAGTTCTATTTTTGACAAATCGAGAGGTATCTGAAGAATATGATAACTGATAGTCTTGCAAGTACATTTTGAAACAAACATATAAATTTGGTTGGTGTTAAAAATCCAATAATAATGTATTTGGATTACTAACACTTCACAATAAAATATTGATATAACATTAAACTTGTATAATCTCGTCAATATTTAAATTTTATAGATATCTATTTAATTTAACCAAATTAATAAAATAAAATACTAATCGTATTACTCTTTCACTTGTCCCGTGTAATTCTAAATCAGTGGATTTTTTTTACAAACTAAGTTTTTTTGTCATTTTTATACTAAAAAAACTAACAATTAAGATTATATCATATATATTTTTGTACTATGTATATTTTATCTCAATAATATTGATTCAACTACTCATATAAAATTAATCCACTTCTAATCAAAATATATACGAGTTAGAACTTCATTTAATTATTTTTTTTATTTATTTCGACCTGTATTTTGTTAAATTTATTTTTTATTTTTCTTATCATATCATTTTTTTTATATAATCCTTCAAGACCCATCTTGAACTCTTCGACTAAATGATGAAGGGATTGACTTTTTTTATTATTTTGATAGAGTATCTTAATTTGTTAGTAAAACGAAGATAAATGAAATAAAAAAAGACAATATAGTTAGATGTTAATGTAAATTATATAGTCGAATAAAAATTAATACTCAAATCTTCTCTATCAAAATATTGACTATAATCATTTATGATTAAACCATTTACTTGTAACTTCGATAAAGAAAACATGTATTAAAGTTAAAACGGTCAAATGAAAATATTTAAATCGGTATCATTATCCGAATATCTGTACCAGTTATCTCAACCAAATTTTATATTTTTCTAAATTTATGACCAGACATAAAATATTTAAATTTATTCTTTTGTTAACCTTTTGGTTTTAATATTTTTCGTGTTCACTTAATAAATAGTATATTTAATGACAGTTCTTAGGATTCGTAATATGTGAAACTCAAATAGTTTCTACGATTTTCATTGTATTCACTTAAGATTAAAAAAAATCTAAATATAAAATTAAACACATTAAAACTACTACATACATCCTATATAATATATATTGAATAACCCATGATCAAGATCGAGGCTCACTAGTGGAGGCTACTGATCCAACTCCTCACCCACAGGACACGAATTATCAAAAGTTGAAGGAGGTCCAACCTCCTGAACCTTCAAGGGAGCATGATCAGAGACCACAAAGCAACACTCAAGGCATTCAAGAACTACACCCGGGGAATGTGACAAAATCCAACATGATACCAAACCGGAATACATCGGAGAAGCAAAGCCGGAAAACCAACAGCAAAACGACAAGCAAGTCCTCCAAAGCGGAAAATGGAGAAGGAAACTCTCCTCGTGGTCGTAAGGTCACGCGGAACCGTAATTAAGTCCCACGAGAATCCATGATTTTTGTCCACAATATCAATGGCCTGAATGGCCGGAATAAGTGTTTTTTGACGCGTCGGTGGATTTCTGACAACAATTTCATTTTTGGAGCCTTGCTAGAGACCCATATTAGAGAACCAAATGCTGCAAGGGCCACCTTGGCTTTTCCCCATGACTGGAAGCATTTCTGCAATTATGCAGATGATCAATTTGGTAGGATATATGTTGGTTGGGATCCGAACGCTAGAGTAACTATCTACAAGACAAGTATGCAGGCGATTACTTGTGGCTTTGAACACATATCACTTGGCTGGAAGTTTACGGCAACGTTTGTGTATGCGAGTAACTCAGCAGTCACCCGGAAGCAACTGTGACGTGAGCTCAAAGAACTTTCGACATATCAGCCCTTAACAGATTCCCCTTGGGTTATACTAGGGGATTTCAATCAAATGCTCTCCCCGATTGATAGATCAGACTACCCCCTCCACACGGGCATTACATCGAGCATGCAAGATTTTAAGGATTGCCTCTCGGAAGCAAATCTATCAGATATTCCATTTCAAGGCCTACGGTTCACTTGGTGTAATAACCATCAAAACAATCTCATATCCATAAAGCTCGACCGTATTTTAGGCAACTTCATATGGCTCACCGAGAACACAATGCAGTAGCAAAATTTGGGAGCCCAGGCCCATCGGACCACTCCCCGGGAATCCTAAGATTGCCAATACCTAGAACACAGGTAAGAAAGCCTTTTAAATTTTTTGCACACCTGACACTCGCTCCGGATTTTCTGCAGGTTGTCACTGAAAACTGGACAGATCGGGATGTACGGGATACAAATCAATTCCATCTATGTCGCTCTCTCAAAAGGCTCAAGCAAAATCTGCGACAACTCAACACTAATCGTTTTAGCCAAATTTCACTGCAAATGAAAGAGGCTTTGGATAAGCTGAAAGTCATTCAGACGGCTCTATTTGAGTCACCGAACCCGGGGCTAGCAGAGGAAGAAAAGAGACTAAGGAAGGATTGGAACACATTAGCTATTGCTGAAGAAAGATTCTTCCAACAGAAATCGAGAATATGTTGGCTCAAGAATGGCGACCGCAACACAACTTATTTTCACAGAGTAGCTAACTCCAGGAACTCCAGGAATAGAATCTCTTATTTGCTCAATGAGGATGGCCATCAGATAGAGGAACCTGAAGATATTAAAGCACATATAGTCTCTTACTACATGACATTGCTAGATTCCTAGAGAAGCCAACAACCTGCCAACACCTCGACGCAGAGAATCAAGGATCTCCTGCAATACAACTGCTCGGACAGCTTAGCCCAGGGCCTTTTAGCCATCCAACGACACAAGAGATCCACAAAATTCTGCTATCAATGCTGGATAACAAATCCTTAGGACCAGACGAGTATCCGAAGAAATTTTTTGTCGCCTCATGGAGCTTAGTGGGACATGATTTGGTCAGAGCTATACATGAGTTTTTCATCACCGGTAAATTACTTGGGCAAAACAATGCGACAACCATCTCGCTGATCCGCAAGCGTGTAGGAGCAGACATGTTGACCGAATTCAGACCCATTAGCTGTTGCAACACAATTTATAAAATAATCTCTGCCATCATTGCCAAAAGGATTAAACCGATCATCAAAGAGGTTGTATCCCCGAACCAGGCTGCATTCATACAAGGACGGCTGATGCTTGAGAACATACTTCTAGCCTCAGAAGTGATAAGAGATTATAATCGCCCATCCTCTCACCCAAAGGCCATGCTTAAAATTGACATTAGGAAGGCTTTTGATACTATCAACTGGAGCTTTATCATCGCTGTCCTGCAAGCAATGGGACTTCCACCACGATTCATCCGATGGATCCAACAATGCATAACAACGCCGAAATTTTCAGTTTCTGTGAATGGTGAACCAGCGGGATATTTCTCAAGCGGCAGAGGTCTTAGACAAGGAGACCCTCTGTCTCCGTATCTATTCATTCTCTCCATAGAAATTCTCTCAAGAATGCTCGATGAAGCAGCGCTTACAGGCAGAATATCTCCTCAACATGGCTGCAAACACCCACTGATAACTCATTTATCATTCGCGGACGATGTCATTATCTTCTCGACTGCGACCACCGAATCCATTAATGGCATTAAAGAAGTCCTCCAACAATTTGCCGGCCAATC